GCCCTACAGAAGGCTGCCAAACACCTCTTAGCACTGACTCATTCTTTCTACTTCCCACTTCCTGCAAACAGTTTCCTTGACAATTCCCAACTCCGGGATAAAGGGATACCACTTCCTTTGGGAGTTAGATGGGTTTTCACTAAATGTGGACGTAAGAGCTAGATAAAATATGAGTCACTTGTTCTTAAAAACTATGGGCAGGAGTGTCCGTCATGGTTCAAGTCAGACTTGTAATAAAAAAGGTGGCTTTTGTTTTGATAGGGTCTTGCCCTGTTGCTCAGGCTGGAATGCAGGGGCACAATCACAGCTTACTGCAGCCTTGATTCCCTAGGCTCAAGTGATCTTCCCACCTCAGCCTTCCAAGTAGCTGAGATCACAAGCATGCACCGCTATGTCCAGCTAATTTTTATATTTTTTGTAGAGACAGGGTCTCACTATGTGTTGCCCAGGCTGGTCTCAAACTTCTGGCGTCAAGTGATATGCCCGTCTCAGCCTCTCAAAGTACTGGGATTACAGGTGTGAGCCACCGTGCCTGGCCGAAAAGGTGATTCTTGATTGAAGGCAAACACGCTTTAATCAGTCCTACCCACCAGCCTGATCTCAGTGGGTGCACTGGCTTTTCCTAGGAAGAGGTTGGGATAGGTAGCAATGCTGGCTGAGAAAGTAGGTCCCACTGAGGGCACAGATGGGTTCAGGCAGCACAGATGACCAAGAGGAACACCCAAGAGTGGTCCATCCCTGCCTTAGGCACCCCCATGGATACGCACCTGCTTGGTCCTCTGCCTGGGTCACTGGCTGGTGCCAAAGGCATGCTCCATTCTGCAGCCACAGCACCCAGTGATAGGGATGGTCAGGCAGGGCTTGAGAAGACTCCTGCCTCCTAGGGCCTGGCTTATACCTACAAGAAACAGCCACCCATTTGCAGATACCCACTGCCAATGCCCAAGGACGCCATCTTGCTGGCCAGTTCCTCTGTCTCTTGAACTTGATCCACAATAGTAATGAGTAAAAAGAAGGGGCCAGAGGAGGCCCTTCAGAGCCTGGGAAGAAGAGGTGACATAGAATCTGCAGTCTGGTTTCCAAGTTGTTAAAAACAGGCATACTTAAGATCAACCCAGGCAACACAGTGAGACCCTACCTCTATAAAAAATTAAAAAGTTAGCTGGGTGCAATGGTGTTTACCTCCCATGCAGTGGTCCCAGCTGCTTGGGGTGTTGAGGTGAAAGGATCTCTTGAGCCCAAGAGGTCGAGACTGCAGTGAACCATGATTGTGCCATTGCATTGATTGGGCAACAAAGCAAGATCCTGTCTCAAAATAAAATAAAATAAATAAAGAAAAGAAAAACAGGCACCCAGGATCTTAGGAGACAGAAAGGACCTCCTTCCTGGACAATGGTCCCCTCTACCACACTCCCGGCCATTGTGAGACCTGCAGGGTGGGGAGATAAGTCCTGGGGGGCTGCCCACACTGTACTAGAACAGCCTGAGCCCATCAAAGTCTTTCCTTACTCGGAGCCTCTCTGTGACTTTTTTCCAGCTAATTTTCGTATTTTTAGTAGAGATGGGGTTTCACTGTGTTGCCCAGGCTGGTCTCGAGCTCCTGACCTCAGGCAATCCACCCACTTTGGCCTTCCAAAGTGCTGGGATTAAAGGTGTGAGCCGCTGTGCCCAGCCTCCCTATGACAATTTAAAAAACATTACTATAGACTTCATAAACAAAAATTATGAAAAATCCAAATCCATATAAAAGCAGAGAGCACAGTATAATAAATCTAATATACTCCTCTCTCAGCTTGAACAATTACCAACACGTGGCCCATTTTTTTTTTTTTTTTTTTTTTTCCTGAGACGGAGTCTCGCTCTGTTGCCCAGGCTGGAGTGAAGTGTTTGATCTTGGTTCACTGCAACCTCTCGACCTCCTGGGTTCAAGTGATCCTCCTGCCTCAGTCTCGAGTAGCTGGGACTACAGGAATGTGCCAGTACAACTGGCTAACTTTTTAAAATTTATCTTTTGTAGAGATGGGGTCTGTGTTGCCCAGGCTGGTCTCAAACTCCTGGGCTCAAATGATCCTCCCGCCTTGGTCTTTCAAAGTGCTGGGATTACAGGCATGAGCCACTGTGCCCAGCCTGGGACAATTTTAAAGAACAAATGGAGAAAAATCTGTTGGTTTACGACAAAGACTGAGTGTGGCAGGTACACTGGTTAGCTGACCTATTACATACTCCTAATTTCCTTCCTCCTTGCATGTTTTCCACGACACTCACTTTTCCAGCCTTCCCTATAGCTAGAGGGAGTTCAATGACCCAGCTATGGCCAGTGAGACTAAATGAAAGTCCAATATGAACTCTCATTGTAAGATGACACATGTACATAATACATACACACAGGTGCACATGTATCAGCCAGGGGAAGTGCTTCATCAGTGAGATGAGGTGAGGTCAGTACAGGAGGCTTTTAAAGAGGTTCCACGTACATCAAAAGAGCGACAGCTGAAGTCCAGGCAAATAGCACAGTTACCAGTGGGAAACTGTGAGACTCCAAAGCAGGCATCTACAAACTGGGAAACAAAGCACCTGTAACAGGATCCATACAAATAGCTATGTATTCCCTGACAGGGGCTTGACTAGACTAGAGGGGCTTTTTTTTTTTTTTTTTTTTTTTTTTAAACAGAGTGTTGCTCTTGTCACCTAGGCCAGACTGCAATGGTAGGATCACTGCAACCTCTGCCTTTTAGGTTCAAGTGATTCTCCTGCCTCAGCCTCCTGAGTAGCTGGGATTACAGGCGTGTGCCACCACGTCTGGCTAATTTTTTTGTATTTTTTAGTAGAGATGGGGTTTGACCACGTTGGCCAGGCTGGTCTCAAACTCCTGACCTCAGGTGATCACCTTCCCCAGCCTCCCAAAGTGCTGGGATTATAGGCGTGAGCCACCACACCCAGCCTACACGTGATTTCTAAAAGACTGATGGAGAGGTAATGGGTGACTGTGTCAGCGTGGGCAGTAACCCTGCTGGGAAAAGACACAGCAATCGAGAGACAGCAAAAAGGAACCGATCTTTCTCAGGGTACAGATGGAGAAGCCTGTGTGAAGGGCTGGATCCTGAACAAGAAAGGCAGGGCCCAAGCACACAGTTACAACTTTCACTGACACATCTGACTTCTCCCTTCATGCCTCGGGGCAAAACAGGAATAGCAAACCCACCTGTGAGAAGAACCCAGCAGGCTTTTGCAGCTTTTGTCTTAATCCTTTAGGCTTCAAAGGTGCTAACATTTGCTAAAAAGACAACCCTAACTTACCATGAACTCAGTACCATTCATTTTATTGGCTTCCAGATAATTTTTCAAGCAGGGAGAGAGCCAGCTCGTGTGCTGCTGAGACACTGGCTGCTGCGATGAAGAGCTTTGTGAAACATAATGGTAGAGGGACTCAACTCCAGAGAGGAGTTAGGGAAACAGTCACCAAATGGTGATGAATGATGGATGATGAACTGGAGGGTAGCAGGTGGGAGGACATTCACATCAAATCTTGGCTGCTACCTCCAGAAGGTCTGGATGTCCTCTCATCAAAATACTGGCTGGTCTAAGGTTATTCTTTTTTTGTTTTTGAGACAGGGTCTCACTCCCTTTGCCCAGGCCAGAGTGAAGTGGCACGATCTTGGCTCACTGCAGCCTCAACTTCCAGGGACTAAGTGATCCTCCCACCTTAGTCTCCTGAGTATGTGGGACTACAGGCAAGCACCACCATGCCTAGCTAATTTCTTATTGTATTTTTGTTGGAGACAGGGTTTTACCATGTTGCCCAGGCTGATCTTGAACTCCTCAGCTCAAGCAATCCACCTGCCTTGGCCTCCCAAAATGCTGGGATTACAGGCATGAGCCACCTTCCTCTGTTATTCTTATGTCCCACTTGGGACCATAACAAAGACCTCACAGGCTGCCTGTTGTGATGCTGGCCTGAAATGCTCTATCATCACTTTTAGAATTATTATCAGAGGGGATGTGAACAGACACTGTGTTCAATTTTAGTTTGTAAACTGCCTTTCTGAGTAGTAAGATCCACAGCCCATAACCACCTAGTGTTGAATCAAGTCTTAGTTGCTACGAGTTCTGACCACATTAGAGACCTAGACTGGGAGACCTGCCATAAACTAGTGCTCATACCCGCCGGCTCTGTCATTAGCTCACTCCACCCCTTGGAGGTATCGGTGTTATTCACGCCATTTGCAGACCAGAAAATGGAAGCAAAGGAAACTGACTGGTGGTCAAGGTCACAAAGCTGGTACAGCAAGAAATGGAACGCAGTCTTAGGGATCCTGTCATCACCCAAACCTGTCATGTTACTCGGGTAACACACCTGAACATGCAGGCACACACACGCCAGGAGCAGGCTGTGGGATTTCCTGCTTTATTAATACAAATGGTCTCTATCCCTTTCCCTCTTCACCAAGGATTTGTTTGTTACTCGCCTCCCTGCTGTTCTGCAAAGAACATCCGACTCTAGTAAGCAGGAAGTTTGGAATTTACATTTTCTTATGAGTATAAAAAAGAAAATCCTTCAGAATATTCTTTGACAAACTAAAAATAAATGAAGTACTGAAGTGGGAGCACATCTGAATTTAACTTTTCTTTGGGAAGAGGAAAAAGGCTGAAGGAAAAAACTGCTAATTCAGCAATAATATATCCTTATTTGCAGCCTTACATGCCATCAGCGGGAATCCATTCAGGAAGGAGAGAGATCAGGAAAGACGCCAGAGTGGAGGAACCAAGAACAGACCGGGAAGGGCCTGGCGTTCCAGCCACACTAGTGAGCCTGCTCCTCTAGGTCTTCCGGGCAAGGCTGGCTGCAGAAAGAGCCTCTTGGCCCCGGAAAATCTACACCCAGGTGGGTCAGCTCTCTTTACTATGCCTGGTAAGACCTCTGCCAGCCTGGACAAACCTGGAATGTGCTGGCTTGAACTGGTTGGGACTTTGCAGCAGAAAAGGGAAGGTGAGTGAGGTCGTCATCTTCATCAGCCTCTCACAGGACCAACTTTTATTTATTCATTTAAGGACAAATTTTTAAAAGTAAAGTGAATGAAACCACTTGTGATTAAGATACATAGACAGAACTTCAATGTAGAAAAAAAAGACCTTGCTGGGAAACAGCTGATGAGAAACACTGGAAAATATTTCACAGACGCACAAAAAGCTCACATTGTAAACAGGATTAAGCTGCTCTTGCTTTTGCCCGTAACATCAAGGTTTCATTTTGCTCAGCCTGAGATCTCGCTCAATTTCAAACTGCCTGTGATCCACTCGGTCGAGGAAAGCTTTCCGTTCAATGTACCTAGAAAAGGAATGAAAACAGTGTTTGTCAGAAGCAGAAACCAGTAGGAGAAATTCCTCCCCTGCCTGGTCCCGTCCCCCAGACATAAACTGAGTTACGGTGAATGAAAGCAGAGGGACACAGCTGGTGCTGAGAGTGACCCCCCATGACGATTCCAGTATAATCCACACCACTCACATTTGGTCTAAAAAAGAATGGTGAAAATACAGTGAAGCCAGGCGCGGTGGCTCACACCTGTAATCCCAGCACTTTGGGAGGCCAAGTTGGGTGGATCACGAGGTCAGGAAATCAAGACCATCCTGGCTAACATGGTGAAACCCTGTCTCTACTAAAAATACAAAAATTAGCTGGGCATAGTGGCATGTGCCTATAGTCCCAGCTACTCGGGAGGCTGAGGCAAGAGAATCACTTGAACCCACAAGATGGAGGTTGCAGTGAGCCGAGATTGCACCACTGCACTCTAGCCTAGGCGACAGAACGAGACTCCGTCTCAAAAAAAAAAAAAAAAAAAAAAAAAAAAAAAAAAAAAAAAAAAAAAAAGAAAAAGAAAAAGAAAAAATAAAATGAAAAGGAAGGTAACAGTTTATCAAAGGGAAAGCACATTAGAGGCTGGGTGGCAGGAAGATGTTGCAATTTTCTAATAAGACTTTACAGGAAGAAGAACATGGGTTTACACAGGCACGGGTTCAAGTCCTAGCTCTAGCTCACTTATTAACAGGGCAAAGGACTGCACATCTCTGAGCCTCACTTTTCTTACAGCAGCATGGTGATGCTGTATTTCTTGGCTTTAGCAGTGTGTTGAATTGGTGGGTGACAGAAAGCTATGCCTCCTGCATACATACATCAAAATGTGAAAAAGAGGCATGTGGTAGTGAAGAAGTAAGACAGTAAAAACGGCCTCACAGGGCTGCTGTGAAGGTGAAGTGAGCTGAGGTTTACAAAGTGCACACTTTAGAAGTGATTTAACTGCTCTGAGCTCTTTCCTTCTCCTCATCCTTTTCTCCTCTCCTAGGTATCCGCCACCCTGTTTGGGTCCAGGTTGCTTCTCCTAAGATGACAGGAGAACCCTTTCCCTACGTTCCTCTAAGAGAATGAGGTTAAGGGCCTCTGTGGCCTGTAGTCCACATACAGGATCCCCTTGAAAGGTGGGCACTCTGCCCCCTAATCTGGTCAGGTTCAGCAAACTTTCCCTCTGTTCTCCAGGCAGGACGGGAAAGCAGCACAGGCACGCTTGCCGGGAGCAAGGCTGGCTGCTTAATGAGACACAGCTGCATCTTAATGCACCTCCTCGACATAAAGTGTGCCATGATTTGCCTGGGGAGAGGAGATCTCCGCTGCTAATTAATCTATTGAGAGAGCAAAATTGCCCTCAAAAATGGGAGACATAATTGAATCTCTGCACTAATTTTTCTTTTGTTGCACTGTGGAAAATGTGCATCCGTCATTACAAAGTCATTACATTTATAGTGAGAAGGCTACCAGGTTCAGGAACCTGTGTTCCCCTGCTGCATCCAGGGTCCTGCTTTCCCTCCCAACAGCGTCCTGGGAAGTACCAAATGGTACTAACTACCCTGGCCCTAGGTTAGAGGGCTAGCCAGAAATGTACAGGCTGAGGCCAGAGGGCTGGAGATTTGAGTCCTGTCATCTGCTGTCTGTGTGACTCTGGGCAAATCACTTAACCTGTTCTGTTTCCTAATCTATAATAATAACTCGTCTCCACTCTGAAGGACTGTCATGTGAATTAAATAAAACGGTGTCTACATCATGCCAGGCACAGAGCAGGTGCTCAATAGAATGGTAGGTAATGTTGTTACCATGGTTTTAGGAAGCCAGCCTCCAAGAGGTTCCTGAGGACAGTCGATGGCCCAAGTCTGGACTTAACGGTTTCAGTAATGAGGAACCAAAATACCTGGTGTGGCTCAGGGACTAAGCTGCTGTGTCTAAACCGTCAATGAGGCAAGAATGGCAGGAAGCGATGACAGGGCCTGCTCTTAGGTTTGATAAAAGCCATTGGGTTCAGAGTTGACAGATTTGAAAAATAAAATTATAGGCTGCCTGGAGGAGTTTGAACTTCAGAGTCCCTGGCAGTCAGGGAAGCTGCAGACATTGTGGACCCCTTTAGATAAAAAGTGAAAAAGGGGAGACAGGTAGGGAAGTGTAGACATCTAACAATGAACTCACTTCCTACCTCCCACCAAGACACCTGTGATTCTCAAGTGGGGGCTGCTAACCAAAATGGCCTGAGAGGCTACATTCACTACAACCAGCCATCTTTCCACCCTAGCCCCACCAGCCCCAGGGAAGCTCACTACCATGGGGACTAGGATTTTGATGGCACTGCACTTTAACTGTCCCTTGGAAGTGCTAGCAGAAGAAAAGAGAGGTAAGGCTCAGCATGAGATCTTGCTGTGCTGCTGTTCACTTAGGGATGTAAGAGGAATTCTGGGTATGTTTCAACAGCCATCTTCAGTGCTACCTGTCTGGAGATCAGGTGGAGGGAAGGCGTAAGTATGTGGGGTTAAGCATTTGGGGTCTTTCTTCCTGACTTTCATTTTTTTGAGACAGGGTCTTGCTTTGTTGCTCAGGCTGGGTACGGTGGTGCAAACACAGTTCACTGCAGCCTTGACCTCCCAGGCTCAAACAATATCCCTGCTTTAGCCTCTCAGGTAGCTAGGACCATAGGCACACACCATCACACCTTTTTTTTTTTTTTTGAGACAGAGTTTCGCTCTTCTGCCTAGGCTGGAGTGTACTGGTGCAATCTTGGCTCACTGCAACCTCTGCCTTCTGGTTTCAAGTGATTTTCCTGCCTCAGCCTCTCGAGTAGTTGGGATTACAGGAGCCTGCCACCACACCCAACTAATTTTTGTATTTTTAGTAGAGACGGGGTTTCACCATGCTGGCCAGACTGGTCTCAAACTCCTGACCTTGTGATCCGCCCACCTCGGTCTCCTGCAGTGCTGAGGTTACAGGCATGAGCTACTGTGTCCAGCAGGCTAATTTTTAAATCTTTTGTAGAGACAGGGTCTCTCTATGCTGCCCATGCTGGTCTTCAACTCCTGGGCTCAAGTGATCATCCCACCTTAGCCTTCCAGGTGCTAGCCTTCCAGGTGTGAGCCGTCGGGGCCAGCCCTGACTCTCCTGTAAATGAGAAGTGACACTTAATGAGGATGCTAACTGAGTATGAAGAAAGGTCCTGCACCTTCCCAGGAGCTGTGCTGGGTCCAGCTGACCTTGAGACTTATCAAGAGTGAAGTCCAGGTTGGCTGCTAAACAGGCAGGTGCAGGCAGAGTTTAGGCTTAGAGAGGCCTCAGACAGCAGTGAGTGGCACATGTGCAGGATGCAACTGAATTCTCAAGGGCAACCCAGACAAAGGCCATCAGGGCAGGTCTGGTGACTTTATTCCCTGATTCACAGCCATCTGCAGCTGCTAACAGGATGCCTGTGATGGCCTTGGTTTACTGCCAAGAGCTGACCATGAACAAAACTACTTGGCAGTGGACTCTCCCTTCCAAGACAGAAAAGGTGCTAAGAATGACAGTGGCTGTGACAGATAGTATTTGTGTGACTTTGAGCAAGACCGTGTGACTTCTGTGCCTTTTTTTCCTTCTCTGTAAAACAGGAATAACAATCACAATAACCCTCTGGCAATGCAATGAAACGGTGAGAAGTGTTTTGTATACAATAAAACAAACGAACAAACAAAATAGCTATAAGAGTTGTCATGGGGCTTGGAGTTCTTGCTTCCCATTTCCTTTTTTCTTTTGTATTTTTAGTGGAGATGGGGTTTTGCCATGTTGGCCAGCCTGGTCTTGAACACCTGGCCTCAAGTGATCTGCCTGCCTCGACCTCCAGAAGTGCTGGGATTACAGGCGTGAGCCACTGTGCCCTGCCGGCCTTGCTTCGCACTTCTTCTGACTTGACCTCTACAGAACCTCAAAACCCAGGAAAACGGAACAGACACCAAGAGACCAAATGTCCCCGAAAGAGGAAGGGATCATTAGGAAGGCTACATCCTCAAAGGTGGCCACTGAGACTCAGGATGTTTTCATGCACTTTAAGTGGGTCATGGTCCCAGAACAGACCTGCCTGAGGACGAGTGCAATGGGAATCACGGCTCTTGCTCTTGATCTGTCTGGGTGCTTTTCTGGCCTGTGCCCAGCCCCTTTGGGGGCCCAGCATGACTCAGCCTCGTCCACAGGGAAGCCCAGTGGTGGGGGATGCATCATCCCTTTCTGCTCCCATTGCCTTCTGTGGCCCATTTAAGAGGCTCTTCACTTTCTTTAATAAAATAAGAAATTATTCCCATTGCACTCGTCCTCATGTGGGTCTGTCCTGGGGCCATGACCCACTTAAAGTGCATGAAAACATCCTGAGTCTCAGTGGCCACCTTTGAGGATGTGGCCTTCCTAACGATCCCTTCCTCTTTCAGGGACATTTGGTCTCTTGGTGTTTGCAGTTGTCCTGGGTTTCGAGGTTCTATAGAGGTCAAGTCAGAAGAAACGTGAAGAAAGGCCAGGCACTTGCTTCCTTTTCTTTAATAAAAAAACTAACGGATTTTCTAGTTTTTCCTTTCAGAACCAGGTTAGACACAACAGGCTCTGACATCTTTTGAATCTTCCAACCCAAATTATTTATCTGGCACCCAATTTTCCTGAGATCTAGGCCAATGAAGAGGGGGGGAGAAACTGAAGAAGAGGACAAGAGAAGGGCAGAAAATGGTACCAGGGAATACATCAGTACAAGGTGGGCATCCCAAATCCCAAAATCCGAAATCTGAAGTCCTCCTAAATCAGAATCTTTTAAAACACTCACAAAACACAAGTGGAAAATTCCACACATGACGCCTTTGCTTTCTGAAGATTCAACATACACAAACCTTGTTTCAAGCACAAAATTATTTAAAATACTGCATAAAATTACCTCCAGGAATTACGTATAAGGTACGCATTTGTTTTACATATAAAACAAATGAATTTTGTGTTTAGACTTGGGTCAC